ACGCGGGAGGTGGTTGACTCGACAGTAAAGGAGTGTTTCATACTGGCTTGATCTTTGTCCTTTGAAATCTTTTTGGATTTCTTGGATTTACGCTTCTTGCTTTTCTTGCGAGAAGCTTTGTCTTTGAGACTTACCTTCTGCTCACAGGAAGAACGAGCTTCCTCAGGAGGATCAAAAGCAGAATGCCACGAGGACGTTGATGAAATAGGTGATGGCTGCCGATGCTCTGCAGCTTGGTCCATGGCCATTGCACAACCCAACTGCATGAGAGCCAAAAAACTTTATATCCTGGCATAGATTTGCATATGCAGGATCTTGCATCGTTGACTACTGAACATACGAGGCTGCAGATTCTTTTCTTGCTGTACGAATTAAATCAGCTTGCAGCCGGAGCATTTGAAAAAGCTGTCGATGCTGCCATGAGGTTCTCTTCCTCCGGTTCCTCAGGCAGCTCTGTCTTAGGGGCTGTTGGATTAGCCCATGGGCCCCAGTCGTCATCTGGAGGGCCATCCGCTAGAGCCAAAGTAGGCTCATCTCCGACAGCTTTAACTCTAGTTCTGCGACGCTGTCTGCTCTGATGCTGAGGATAGTCAGCTTTGCTTCGTTCTGAAAGAACAAAGACAAAATCAATTCGAGCCGCCGCGAACCGAATTGCCCAGCGTTTGTCCGAAGAACAGCTGTGGACCAGGGCATGAAATCTCGCCAGATTGTTCTCATATCTGGTGCATGCATTCTTGCCCTTAATGTGGTTGCTAGGCAATAAGCCTGCAAAAACCACTCCAGAACAATTCTTGGTTGAGTGGTAACACTTGCAGGCGAGCTGTACAACTCCTGCACCCCAGTTGGGGTTCGTTGTACTTCTGCCGTAAAAAGAAAATGTATCTTCTTGAGGTTCCAGGCCAGTCACACTGTGATCCGTAGGGAGGATCTTGCCTGTAGCCAAAATTCCAGTGGCTCCTTCCCTGGTAGTAGCATGTGCCCATAGATGCCAGTTTTGCTGGGCCAAGGGTGGGCCTGGAAAGCCTGTGCACCGAAATCGATATCCAACTACATTTTCTTCCACATCATGAAACATTGATGCACCTTCTTCGAAGTGCCTCTCATATTGGAGTCTGGACTGCAAAATGCAGTCCACGAAGCCAAAAAATTCTTCTGTGCCAATTGTATTCTGTGGCACCGGCTCCGGAAACAAACTGAGCAAAAACCGAGCACATCGTTGTCTCTCAGGATCTTTGAGAGATGCGAAGGGGCGCTGGTACTTACGAACCAGTGCCGTCCGGGCTGCATTGCTTCGCAGTGCTTGCCAGGGAGCCATAACCCATTGATCCGGGAAAGGAGCCGTTAAAAGTTGTTGACAGTAGAAAAGGTATTGGCTCAGGGTGGTCATCCCTCCCGGTATATGATCTGTTGCTGAAAATCCCGACAGCTGGACTTCCAGCTGGTCTTCAACATCATTGATGTTGGCCGACATGAGGCTCCGAAAAAACTGATCATCAATCTGTTGCTGGCTGTCCGATGGGGCCAGTTGATTGGAGGCCGTTGACCCTTTCTTGGCCTGCTTTGTGGGCTGGCTTGGGCCCGGAAGATCCGCTGCTGGAACTCGTGCTGCTGGTACCGACTGTTGCGGTGCCTTGTTGGGCCTGGCTAACCTCGGCGGTGTGCGAGGTTCAGCTGGCCTTCGCAAATCCGGAGCCGCAAAAGGTGTAGCCGCAGGTGGCGGCAGAGGCGGCGGTGGTGGAAACCAGTATGCCGACACATTGCCCGGGGGAGCAAATGATGGAGGCGGTGGCACCGAAGGTGGCGGCATGACCTGCCTTGGTGGTGGAACCCAAGGTGCTGGGGCTCGCCAGTTGCCCGGAGGATACATTGGTGTATCCATCTGTGGCCGGGTCCTTCTTGGTGTACGGCTTCGCCGTGGCCTCCGTGAGCGAGAATTTCTTGCACGACGCCTCGAAGGGGATCTGGAGGCATTGTGTGCCCGATGTGATAGGGCTGGTCTCGGTCGTGGTTGAGGATGTATTTCCTCAACTGGTCCTTGCAATGCAAGAACACGTGGCTGCGGGTTGGATCCTTGGGATTCGCCGCAGAAGAACTGGAAGACGTACGATGCCATAGCTGGGATACACAAGGGACAGACTATAAAAGTCGTCACGAGCCCAGCTTACAATATTGGAAATACATGTGCACAGCAAACGATACACACGTCTCGCACTGACCAAAGAAATCGAAGTTTTGACACTTTCAGGTCAGCATTTCTGCAGGGAAGCCTCTATCTATGTACAATTGGCGAAGTGCCTGCAGTTGATGTTTGCGACTGCTCGGAGGCCATGCGTACTGTACAATCAAAGCTTTGCGAGATAAATATCCTGAAATTCGGGTGGACCAACTTCCTGCAGATCTTGGGTTTCTGATTGACCAGGCTTTGTCTGGTTGCAGGTAGGTCACTGTTCTGTTGGCCATGTTGAGCCGGAAGCCCAGAAATTGATGATTCGTAACTTCTTCCAGCTGGATAGTTCCTCCATAAAAAGAGAGGTGTTGAAAATCTTTCATGCATTGGTGCGATAGAAAGTTCTCATCGCACACTACAAGTCGATTGTCAACATATCTGCAGACAAACAGTTCCGATGCTTGGTTGTCAAAGAACCTAGCAGATTCCAGGAACTGGTGCCATTCTCTTTGCCAACAAGATTCTCGCTGAATTACGGGAAGACTGCTGAGGACCGGGCTGATTTGGTTGCCTATACACGTGCCCCGGTGTTGCCTGAACAATAGGCCAAGAGTGGTGAACACTCCTGCTTGGAAAGAGGTCTGTACAATCGCAGTCAGGTCCGAAACATGAAGAAACCTTATGTGTTTGGCTCCCTTTGCCATGGGTTTGCCAGGCCAAGCAGACTCACAATAGGGCTGCTTTTTCAAGGATACCGTAATGTGTGGAGGGTACTCCTGAGCTTGATACAGCTGTACAAGCATCGACAGCGAATCCAGGATTTGCTGTCTGGGCACAGAATTGAAAAATCCCACGAGATCATCATTGATTTCAGCGAGATGCACCGTAGACGGGGTGCGGCGGAGAAACTGATGCAGCTTCTTCCAAAGTTGGGGTGTGGTTGCTAGGCCCATTGCTTCAGGCCAAACCAAGCGAACCATCAAAAGAATCGCTTGTGCAGCTGCGATCAACAACTTCTTGATACAGCTGTTGGAATACGATATTATCGTCCTCCCTTTCAAAAATTCTTTCTTGCGTTTAAGAAAGACGAACCCAACAGGCAAGGTGCCGGAAGCATTGATTCCCCATCTATATCGTCTTTTCAATATGCTGGGGATCTGTTGAAAAACTCTCTGGTTCCAGAGTTCTTGGGAGCCTTCCACAGGCTCGAAAACATCTGGATCCTGCCAGGTCTTCGTGGCAGCTTGAAGGTAGAATTTGGGACAGAAGACCATAAGATGGTTCGGCTCGTGGTCTTCGCAATGAACAATGAACTGTCGGTGCAGTAAATCACGAGCAGCAGAAACATCTCGCCATGTGAGCCGGTTTTCTTGGCCCAGGTGATCGAGGTGTTTGCTCCATTGTTGCTCGAGAAATTGCTGAAACGCTAATTCAACACCCTTGGGAAGACAATGCTTGCGCCGCCAAGACGCAAACAAACGGGTGTTGTGATTGAAAAATTCTCTTTTGGAAGGAAAAAAGGCTGAAGATGCACTGCCACTCCCTAGTTTTTCAAAGGAGCGGTGAAGGCTGCCAAGTTGTTCTATGCCTGCTACAACATGGCCTCGAGTGAGGCACTGTTCCGGCAGCAGTTTAGCATAGTAAGTACAAGGGCATGGTGCTTCATCAACAGAATGATTCTGCAACCAATGGTCCCAGTCTTTGAAATTGTGCATGAAGTCCTTGAGAGACTGATGAGGTTGCTCTCTGACTTTGCAAACTGGGAGGTGAAAAGGTATAAGGATCGGCTTGTGTGCCAATACAAGCTTTCGGATCCATCTGGAAACATCTGACCCAAAGCTTGGGGATGCAGTGAATTTCAACTGCAAGCCCAGTGCTGCCATTGGCCAGGACATGTTTCGAAATTGGCAAACACTTTTGAGCACCTTCCTAGCTTTACTTTTGCCAGGCTCTTCCAGGCAGTTGCTCAAGCGAATCAAGGAGTAAATCTCATCTGGAAGGTATCGGTCGCTTCGCAGCTTTTTTGCCTCTTCAAAGGGGGCACGGCTGAAGCATGTAAGATTGAATAGTATCTCCCATGCCGACCTTCTCTTGAGTTGAAAAGGAACGGGCTGAAGTTGTCTGTGGAGCTTCTTTCTCAGTTTTCTCCACAGTCTTAACCCGAACCTAGAGGACACACTGTGTCGAACTCTCTTGTTGGGTCTAAAGCCCAATGCACTCCTTTTCAAAAAGGAGGTAATGTACGGGTGATTGAGCTTGGGTTGCCACATCCCAATCAAGCAGTGCTCGGTAACCCATGCTTCCTTGTACGTTGAGCATGGAGAAACGAGGAACAAAGTGTACTGCTCAAGACACTGATTGGACACCCAGTATCGGATGGCTAGCTCGGCCTGAGCTTCACCCCCGTTTGCCAGCTTCCTGGCAACTGAGAATCTGTTTGACTCTCTTCGAAAAACAGATTGGCTGGTGGAGCCTATGTACATGAATGTGGAAGGCTGCCTGTAATGTTCAATGCTTGAAAAATGCGCCAATCCACTGCTGTTTTCATGTACACCGCATTCTGTGATTGAAATCTGGGCCACGTGTAGGTGGCTGGGTGTACCCGGAACTGCTGAAGCTTCTGTCGAATGGTCTCAGCATACGAAGACGGAGATCCTTCTTGAAAGTAAAATAGCAACAGAAGATGAAGCAGGCCTTGGGCCCATAATGCGGACTCTTTGTTGAAGCCCGGACAGTGGTGTAAAAAGAACGTCACAGCCTCTCCCAACATACAAATTTGCTGCTTGATTCCTTGTTTGCTTGAAGCAGCAACATGTTGGCATTGAACTGCTAGTCAAGCAGTTTGAAATTGTGCAACCGCAATCACAGTGGACAAATTCTTGATGGACAGTCTGGATGCCAACTTTGGGTCCAGACCAAACTCTTTAGCAGCTGCAACCAGTTGGTCTTTAGATGCTTCAGTTTTGAGAAGCTTCTGGACAGTCTGTACATGCTTGACCAGCATTTGATACTTGCCTTTAAACTCTGGCTTGTTCTTGTAAGTGGCTAGCCATTCAGTGACATGGTCATCTGTGGCTCCTTTGGGACGAGTATCCACCTTTCGTTGCGGATCTTTAAGGAGCTGTTCAGCTTCCATTTGGGATTCCGGCTCAGCAATGGGCATGGCAGGCTTTGCCCGTCGACCTGAGTCAGGCTCAAGATCTGTAGTCGCCTTCCTTTTCACAGGGGACATTGCAATGCCATGTGCAGCCAGTTTGGCTTTAGCTTTGGCAAGTTCTTCAGAGGCATCCGGATTTGTTGGAGGCGCTTTGGCCAAAACACAATTCAAAAGTTCTTGAGCAAGCGGTTCCATGAATCGCATTGCTTCCTTATGCTTGTCTGGAGGAGCCGAAGTATGGCATGCTTTCGCTGCCTCATCGATAGACACACCACTTTCACGAAGCTTCTTCAACAGTGCAGTGATGAGTACCGATTCTTGGCCGCTTCGAGCCCAGACGATACTCTGGTGCCGTCCTTCCGACAACAATCGAAATGAGAAATCTCCAAGGCCCCGATGGGCAAGCTCAAAAGCACGGATGTCGCTGACATCCCGGCCAGCAAGCCCCGCTTTGCGAGACCACTCTGTTGGTTGAACCAACTTGTGCAGCACATGAGCACCTTTGCCCAAAGGGGTCTTGTCATAGTGCTGGTCATCAGAAACAAAAGAAGACGGCAAAGAAAAAGTTTGATACGTGGGACTGGCTACATATTCCCACGACTTCTCTGAATATTTGGAGTCCCATTTGTCTTCTTTGCTCCATCGATTCCATTGTTGTCGGTTGTCCCAGCTGCTGCTGGAGTCGCTGTTAGACCATGATGACCAGGAGGCCATGGCGAGATCAGTTGTCCAGGGGAGAACAGTTGCTTGATCAGACTGACGGCTGTTTTGGGAACGAAAGGGCATCAGTCCTGTCTGCAACTGGGCAATCAAGCCCTAAACTGCATGTGATTGCTCCGTAGAGCATTTTCGATCTCTAGAGACCAAGAGGTCTTGTTTTGTCATTAAGCCGATCAGGGCTTGGACCGATCAGGGTCTTGTGGTTATGACTGGGCCGATCAGGGCCAGGCAGTAGGCTACCCTACCGTAGACGACACGATCGACGAAAGCCGTCTAGAGCACACTCGTGCAATCCTCCCTCTGGACTAATATAAATCTCAAGAATTGCATTCGTATCATTCAGAGGTGTAGGACTCTAAGAGGATTTAGGCTTTACCTCTGGCCTGAATCAAAACTGCACTCATATGGGGTTTATGGCTTGGCCCCAGTGCCATTCCGATGCAGGTACACAATCTGGCGTCCCAGATTGCTTCACAGCACTTCTATCACCGTCTTCGTTGGGCAGTGGATGATAGAAGGCTCACTGCCCCCCTGCAATCTTAATGCAATTCAGCAAACCTTGGTAAACAGGTGTTCCACACACACACACACACACACTCGTGCAATCCTCCCTCTGGACTAATGTAAATCTCAAGAACTGCAGTCGTATCATTCAGAGGTGTAGGACTCTAAGAGGATTTAGGCTTTACCTCTGGCCTGAATCAAAACTGCACTCATATGGGGTTTATGGCTTGGCCCCAGTGCCATTCCGATGCAGGTACACAATCTGGCGTCCCAGATTGCTTCACAGCACTTCTATCACCGTCTTCGTTGGGCAGTGGATGATAGAAGGCTCACTGCCCCCCTGCAATCTTAATGCAATTCAGCAAACCTTGGTAAACAGGTGTTCCACACACACACCCCGCGAGCGGGGTAGCCACTTGTGGCAGAAGCGATGCTTAAAGTCTGTGCAAATTTTCTACTTGCAGCACCTGAGCTCAATCGAATGGTGAACTGAAGCATTGCTTGGCATCCCAATAATTGGGTATGCACCTTGCTTGCTGTTAATGAAAACGGCCAGTAGAAAGACTGGCAAAACTAATTACATGCAAAAACTTGGCTTTCATGGAGAGACATCTCGCCGTCTTTTGCGAGGTGACTGGGAACACGAAGTATTGTTCTCAGAAATGGTAGTCGTCTCAGTCGATGCTGGGTTTTGGTCCCAGAGCTTATCCGCAGCAAGGCGATTCTGGATCCACTGCTGTGTGGCAGGGAACCACGTTTTCCACCACCGGTCTTGACCATCGGTTGCCGTGCTTTTGGACCAGTAAAAACGCCATGAAATCCGCGGAGAACGAGATCGGCTTCGGTCCGACATGATGTACTCAGTACACTCCACTGAAAGCCACAGACTACGGAGGCATTTCAGCATTTAAATCGTTGGACACAAAGATCTTCGACGTTCAGCCGTGATTTTTTCAGCATCGCCATCAAATGATTATGGCATATCAGCCAGGGGTGAAATAACACGAAAGACTCGCAAATCGGAAATAAGGGTAGAGCTCACTCGAAATCGATCTTCTCGACCGGTGCAGAGCCAATCAAAAAAGATGGCTTTCTGCTGAGACTGTAGCAGCAATTGCCGAAAAGCGATGTACAGTGTTCCTTTATAGAGATAAAGGACAGATCGAAAGAAGACTCGGTTAACCGCCCCATAAAAGGTGATCTGTGGCATTGGTGCCGTATTGTACATTATGGGTACATAAAGTACATTGGGCCAGCCAGGTGGCTGTGCTGGGCACTCCCTTTGTACAAAATGTTCACGAATGGACCCATAATTGAGGCTCCCTAGTGCAAGTGAAGTATCGGCAGGCAAAACAGAGCGAAAACGTTGACGAATGCGATCAGAAATGACACGAGCCGCACTGTCCGGATACGGCTCTTCTGATTCGGAGGAATCATCAAGCTGAAGTTGATCGCGATCTTCTTCGGACCAAAACGCCGGATTGTAGTAGAAGAAGAAGATGTGCTTTCGCGATGAAACAAATGATACCACTCTTGCCACAATGGCGGGTTGAGACATAACCATCGACAAGGCCGACATGTGGCTTTGTAGAGAGAGGGGATTACTGAAGAAAGCCGATGGAGCCTGCAGTTCATGAAAATTGTCGCAGGTTTTCGGCAGGGGATCACTCAAAAGGAGAATCAGCTTTTCTGGCTAACACAACCAAGCTGTAAATGACTTTGCTCTGGAGTGTGAAACTATGTCCCTTCGCCAAATTCATTGGCGATGAGCCTGACTGGACAAAGGTGGGCACGCACATAATGGCATGTACACCGAAAACCACTTCGAGCCATCATTTTGGCTACTCCTCTGCCTTTGTACACCGTGGTATTGGTCCCCGTAGGGGCAGAAACAGGTTTGCTATTGCAAATGGCATCAAGTACCACGTCCCCGGTATGAACAACGCGGGAGGTGGTTGACTCGACAGTGAAGGAATGTTTCATACTGGCTTGATCTTTGTCCTTTGAAATCTTTTTGGATTTCTTGGATTTACGCTTCTTGCTTTTCTTGCGAGAAGCTTTGTCTTTGAGACTTACCTTCTGCTCACAGGAAGAACGAGCTTCCTCAGGAGGATCAAAAGCAGAATGCCACGAGGACGTTGATGAAACAGGTGATGGCTGCCGATGCTCTGCAGCTTGGTCCATGGCCATTGCACAACCCAACTGCATGAGAGCCAAAAACTTTATATCCTGGCATAGATTTGCATATGCAGGATCTTGCATCGTTGACTACTGAACATACGAGGCTGCAGATTCTTTTCTTGCTGTACGAATTAAATCAGCTTGCAGCCGGAGCATTTGAAAAAGCTGTCGATGCTGCCATGAGGTTCTCTTCCTCCGGTTCCTCAGGCAGCTCTGTCTTAGGGGCTGTTGGATTAGCCCATGGGCCCCAGTCGTCATCTGGAGGGCCATCCGCTAGAGCCAAAGTAGGCTCATCTCCGATAGCCTTAACTCTAGTTCTGCGACGCTGTCTGCTCTGATGCTGAGGATAGTCAGCTTTGCTTCGTTCTGAAAGACCAAAGACAAAATCAATTCGAGCCGCCGCGAACCGAATTGCCCAGCGTTTGTCCGAAGAACAGCTGTGGACCAGGGCATGAAATCTCGCCAGATTGTTCTCATATCTGGTGCATGCATTCTTGCCCTTAATGTGGTTGCTAGGCAATAAGCCTGCAAAAACCACTCCAGAACAATTCTTGGTTGAGTGGTAACACTTGCAGGCGAGCTGTACAACTCCTGCACCCCAGTTGGGGTTCGTTGTACTTCTGCCGTAAAAAGAAAATGTATCTTCTTGAGGTTCCAGGCCAGCCACACTGTGATCCGTAGGGAGGATCTTGCCTGTAGCCAAAATTCCGGTGGCTCCTTCCCTGGTAGTAGCATGTGCCCATAGATGCCAGTTTTGCTGGGCCAAGGGTGGGCCTGGAAAGCCTGTACACCGAAATCGATATCCAACTACATTTTCTTCCACATCATGAAACATTGATGCACCTTCTTCGAAGTGCCTCTCATATTGGAGTCTGGACTGCAAAATGCAGTCCACGAAGCCAAAAAATTCTTCTGTGCCAATTGTATTCTGTGGCACCGGCTCCGGAAACAAACTGAGCAAAAACCGAGCACATCGTTGTCTCTCAGGATCTTTGAGAGATGCGAAGGGGCGCTGGTACTTACGAACCAGTGCCGTCCGGGCTGCATTGCTTCGCAGTGCTTGCCAGGGAGCCATAACCCATTGATCCGGGAAAGGAGCCGTTAAAAGTTGTTGACGGTAGAAAAGGTATTGGCTCAGGGTGGTCATCCCTCCCGGTATATGATCTGTTGCTGAAAATCCCGACAGCTGGACTTCCAGCTGGTCTTCAACATCATTGATGTTGGCCGACATGAGGCTCCGAAAAAACTGATCATCAATCTGTTGCTGGCTGTCCGATGGGGCCAGTTGATTGGAGGCCGTTGACCCTTTCTTGGCCTGCTTTGTGGGCTGGCTTGGGCCCGGAAGATCCGCTGCTGGAACTCGTGCTGCTGGTACCGACTGTTGCGGTGCCTTGTTGGGCCTGGCTAACCTCGGCGGTGTGCGAGGTTCAGCTGGCCTTCGCAAATCCGGAGCCGCAAAAGGTGTAGCCGCAGGTGGCGGCAGAGGCGGCGGTGGTGGAAACCAGTATGCCGACACATTGCCCGGGGGAGCAAATGATGGAGGCGGTGGCACCGAAGGTGGCGGCATGACCTGCCTTGGTGGTGGAACCCAAGGTGCTGGGGCTCGCCAGTTGCCCGGAGGATACATTGGTGTATCCATCTGTGGCCGGGTCCTTCTTGGTGTACGGCTTCGCCGTGGCCTCCGTGAGCGAGAATTTCTTGCACGACGCCTCGAAGGGGATCTGGAGGCATTGTGTGCCCGATGTGATAAGGCTGGTCTCGGTCGGGTTGAGGATGTATTTCCTCAACTGGTCCTTGCAATGCAAGAACACGTGGCTGCGGGTTGGATCCTTGGGATTCGCCGCAGAAGAACTGGAAGACGTACGATGCCATAGCTGGGATACACAAGGGACAGACTATAAAAGTCGTCACGAGCCCAGCTTACAATATTGGAAATACATGTGCACAGCAAACGATACACACGTCTCGCACTGACCAAAGAAATTGAAGTTTTGACACTTTCAGGTCAGCATTTCTGCAGGGAAGCCTCTATCTATGTACAATTGGCGAAGTGCCTGCAGTTGATGTTTGCGACTGCTCGGAGGCCATGCGTACTGTACAATCAAAGCTTTGCGAGATAAATATCCTGAAATTCGGGTGGACCAACTTCCTGCAGATCTTGGGTTTCTGATTGACCAGGCTTTGTCTGGTTGCAGGTAGGTCACTGTTCTGTTGGCCATGTTGAGCCGGAAGCCCAGAAATTGATGATTCGTAACTTCTTCCAGCTGGATAGTTCCTCCATAAAAAGAGAGGTGTTGAAAATCTTTCAT